CCAAATTCTGGTTGAACTTGAAAATTCAACAATTTTTATAATTCACTATTACCTGTGAAATCGATAATAAGTATATACCTATGTGGCTATGTGACTATATGGGTATATAATTATATAAAATTAAAAATAAGTTGTCTTATTCAATTAAATTTTAAATATGTCATAATTATAATTTATAATAAATATAGGTTGGTAACATATTTCGAAAAAAATCTATCGTGGTCGTGCAGGTATTACGACTTACGAGCAGGGCTTGCTTTTGAAAAAAAAATTCTGTTTTATATTATATAGGTATTTACAATTAAAACGTTACACAATTTTTGAGTTTATCGTTATTTAGAATTAAAACGTTATTCAACTTTTGCATTTATCGTTATTCAGAATTAAAACGTTATCCATGTTTTGCGTTCATCGTTATTTAAAATAGTGTTAATACCTATTAAATTTAAAAATAATAACTAGTGCTTGTAAGTTGTAGGTAATGGCCCGGATACTGGATATAATATAATCAATTCTTAGATTGTTTGCATGAAACAATTAATGTTTCTACGAAACCAATAGACCTTTTAAATAAATAGATTTTTGTTCAGTGATATTTTATGAATTACGTTTTGCGTTATGTTTTTTTTAATGAATATTATATTATATTCTGTTAATCGTTAAGTTTTGTTTTTCGGTATTTAATTATTTTTGATTATAGCTTTCCGTTATAACTACGTTTATAAATTTCAATCGTTTTTTGTCAAATATAACGTTATAATCACAACATTATTACAACGTTTGCAAGCCCTGCTTACGAGTCATCGGTACAGGGCAGTTGTTTACTATTTTCGTAGTGTAGGTATCCGTTTATATTTGAAATTTACGATCATTGAATTTTTAAGCTAAAAGTTAGTAAGCAGCTTGCGCTTTAGGATACGCCTAAACTCTCTCAGTACTATTATTAAATATTATGCTGATGCGGAAATGATGTCCTTACGATAGTTTGACGTAAGTCGATGTGGGTGATGCGATGCATAACCCAAGTATCGAACGATGCGAAACTGTACCAATTACAACTAAAGTCGAAACGAACAATAGTGATTTGTAAACGGTGAACAACCAAAATCTTAATAGGTAAATAAATGTGTACATCGTGAAGAGTGGAACTATTTTGCGATTCACAATAAGTTACAACGTTATAATGTGACACAAACGTGTTTAATTATCATCTAAGAAAAAAATATGTCGATACCTACATTTTTGTCGTACAATAGATGATTAGTTAATTTATTTTTAAAATTTTCAGACTTATAATAGGTATGGTGAATAATATTACTGTCAGTATATATTTATGTACGTACTAATATACATGCTTTTGTCAATATCTCTTTTATTTTAAGTACCTAATTTCATAAAAAATAATGCTTACATTATTTACATACCAACCTATAATTAAAGTTTACTTTTTAAAATGATGTATATGTATTGATGATATGATAATTATATACCTTCAACCTACCTACCCATTTATTATAATTACAAATCACGATAAATTAAAATTTATCATTATATTCAAACATTTTTTCAAAATAATTATTAACCAACACAAGTTATAACAATCACATTATACTCTAAAATTATTTTTAACATTTTTGTTTTTTTACTGTATTATGAGCTTTTAGCTATGTATAATAGTATTAGCTAATCAACAAATATTGCCTTTGTTCGTGAGTTAATAATTGAGAATTCGTACCATGAACCATATAAAAACAACACGATCTTCGAAACGAAAACACGAATAATATATTTAATCAATAATAGACAATAGTCATCATTGAGAATTATTATGATTTATGATTGAGAAAAATAAATACATGTTCTCCTATCCATCTTAATGATTGTAACCGACCTTGATAATATTTAATTTTTTTTTTAAGATAATGATATCAAAGCTCCAGTATAGCAATTTGAAATTACAAGATTACAAACATTGATATTTAAAGTTTGTAATATTATATTTATGTACATATGAACTAAAAAATGTTCAAATTAATTTTTCCGCCAAAAAAACACTTTAATATTAAATATTTAGATTACCTATATTTGTTAATTTAACGATCATAGACCAATTAATAATTGTTTGTCAGTGACAATGCATATTGGATATAATACTACTGTCTACTAACGCCTAATAATGTATCTTTTGTATAAATAATTAATTCAAAATTGTATACAATGCAAAAAATTCAATATAGGTAGGTACGTTAAAAAATGTGTCTATTTTTCAGAATTACGACTGAAAAGTACAAGTGCTTAATGCCATGGTCTATATTATGTATTGTGATATGTAGTTATTGCATATGATATATATTATTATAAGATAATATTCAAACATTTATAAATTATAATTACGTATTTATTTCAACTAGGTTTATATAATATAATAGTCAATATGCTATCTATTGACTGTGGTTTTGTTTTGTTTTAATTTCCTTTTGAATTTTTAGAAATACAAAAAATAAATTAAATATTAAATAAATCTAGTCAATGTAATTGAAACTTAAATTAATTTTATTATTAGTATTCTGAATTTTACAAAATAAAACATTCGAGGTTTTTGATAATAATAACTATAGCAAAATATTTAAAAACCGGTGTTCGATCAGTCACTTCCCCAGTACAAGGTCGAACACGCACACTAACAGAAAAGGCGGCTCGAACAAAGCTATTATCTTTACATTATTACATTAAATCACATGGTCCTTCGTATCGGCCAATGATCGAGTAAAATAATAATAATGATTTGTGATAATGTATTTTTTTTATAGAGAGGCCCGTATACAAGGCACAACCGCCTATACCTTAGGGAATAATACAGCCTAATCCTAATGCATGACCACATGGATCTCTAAACTTTTTACTTGAGAGCCATAAAAAAAATGAAAAACTTTGCAAGTAAAATAATTTATAATAACATTTGTCATTTATAGTTTTATAGAAATGTAATGAACTTATAAACTTGATAAATAAGTACAAGTTTTTAACGGTTGTTACCGCACTCCGTTGTTTAGAGAAGAGATGGGTACCTATTATTTTAAATTTATTGGCTAGTGTATTTTTTCTCTTGTAAGCCAATACTCCAACTAATACATGTAGCGTAGTTATGTTAAATATATTGATTTTATAACTATAATAATTTTATGTTCATTGAAGGTAGAAAAAACCTCAGAAAAAAATAAACAAGATTATAATAAATATACTAAATGGTTCATTTTTGGATTATTAGTTGCAATTAGCGGGCCAAGTAAAAACTTGTCCACGGCCCGTAGTTTATAGACTCCTGTGTATATCGTGTGTATTCTATATTGGACTTTTTCCAGTTTTTGACACAAATTACAACTATTAATTTTATCATGGTATTTTATAAAATTATGAAAATCCATAAGCGTACCTATCTGAAAGCTGTTATTGTGATGGAATACCTCTATACATTTTAAAATCAGTAAATTAATTTTGATATGTGCAAAAAAAATAAGACTAAAAGGGGAGAGGGTGATCCAGTTGTCATCACCGATAAATCAACCTCAGTTGTTACTGTCTATAATCAACGTAGATAATTATAATTATATTACTATTTATTTCATACACTTTCTTCTAATTAAATTAATAAAAATCACTAACAGTAAAAATAATTGTTATTAGAGTTATAATATGATTTTGTAACTTAGTTTAATCATTAATTACTTAAGAGGTCACACCGGTATATTTTCTTCCGTCTTAGACACGTGTAGTATAGTTAAAACCATTCTCCGTTTCTTACTCATTGTGATTACATTGTTGAAATTAAGGTAATATTTCCTATTATATTAACTATAAATAATAGCATTATATATATGTGTTTTGTTGAAAGCCTTGCTTAATATTTTTATTTTTAAGAAATTAATTTAAAATTAAAAAATAATAAAATTGTAGGTAAAGTTCAAAAAATCTCGAAAAAACAGACAATATTATTCTTTATGATAATTATTGATCAAATAATAATTGGTAATGACGCCTTAATTTCAATTATAATGTCATCATAATATGTGAAATACGAAGGATCTTAAGAGGGTGTCGCATGTATTGTGTCTATTTTACAAATGCGCAACAAAAAAATTTGTGTTCAGCAATTTCAATAATATTGTGTTTTTAGCTTTAATATTTGAGTGGATTTACCTAATATTAAATATTAAATATTTTAATTTTTAAGCATGATATTAGCATTTCAAATTGTGATATTTCATACACTACGAGTATTAAAAAAATGTGCTTAAAAATTAAAATGTCCAAAAATACCGACGCACAAAAACAGATCATATTCTTAACTTAAAGTTTATTATTATGTCAATTAGCCCTAATACCAAAGCTAACAACTCAAAATTGAATCTACTTATCGCAAATTTACCATGTTAGGAGTGACATCTTCTTAAGATGAGTAATAATATATATTGCTCAATATGGTAAGTACCTAAGATGTTAAATGTAACTATATTATGTAAGAAATGCAAATTCGTGTAACGGTCACAACTAATATATGCGTAATGCGATAAACGGTATAGTTGGTATTTGACCAATCGTAGGTCACTTATACTTTATAAATATAGCAATAAATTAGAAATTGCGAGACGTTTTTAACAAACAACGGTGGTGCACTGTATAACAGTGAGTACATACCTAAGACCATATGTATTGAACAAACACAAACACACTACAAATGAGCCTATTATTCAAACAATTAATGCGTAATGAAGGGTAGTAAGTATAAAATATTAGTACCTATATATTGTATGGCGTTTGATTAATATCAACCAATTAATCACAGGTAATTAATAATATTATAATACACGACTATACCTACCTATATAATACCACGATAGTGCGACGTTTAATCGTGGTTACCCAATAATGATTGTGTATTTATTGGTACCTACTAATACAATACCTATACATATTAAACGTTTTACAAGTTATAACCTTACCTCAATAGTAATTTGAGAAAACATCCGAAACCCCTGCACGTGGCCACCTCTGCTGTATAAGTAACGGTCATTGTTCTATGATATTGTCGTCACGTCGTCGTCGTCGTATATTAGGTATATTATATTATATTAATTGTAATATATTACGACACTGGTATGGAACCGCCAAGATCACCGCTGCAGCTGACGATGTGGTAAAAAAATTCCTAACTATAATAACTAATATTATTCACGTTTATTCCAAACAATCCAAACTATAGGTATATAATATTGTTACCGTTTTCGCGATAACGCCGGTAGAGTGGCCGGCGGACGGAAGGACTGAAGATAGACGGCTCAGCCGTGATGGTAACGCGCGCGTAAACTATAATATTGTAATAATATGTTTGATATCGTGACGATGAAGAGCAAAATATGATTAATTTTTAATCGTCGCAGTGCAGGCGAAATGCTGATCGGTTTCCGGCCGATTGCACTTGGGCCTTGGGGGGTGGGTAAATGAAAAAAATTCACCCGGACGCGAGTGCGACAAATCTACTGGCGCCGGCTTCCGACGACATCCCAACGAGTGGCGATCACAGCTGCAGTTGCTCGAACGGACGTCGGCACGACACTGCGGCGGCATGTGCACCAACTAATTCATATTATATAGCGCGCACTGACATCGAGTCGCCGCCGCTGCCGCCGCCACCATAAGTATACCTCTATATCTCATGAGGTCGACGCGCCAGCCGGGCGACTTGCGACTTTAGTTTTTACTCACGATTACACACGCAAATGAACTTTAAAAAAATCATAAAAATATAATAATAATAACAACAACAACAACAGTAATAATACATCGCTTGGTGCTTTTATAGCACCTACGCCGTAGAATACCAACGAAACCTGTGTAATAACAGTGTACGAGCGGGTTAATCATACACACTAGATTTATCCCCACATTCTATTATAATATGTATAGACGACTATATTATACTCACAGGTATTTATTACACAGGTATAATAACCCTACATTCACGGTCTCCACAGCGAGTATTAGGAAAATACGGTTTTTTTTATTTCGTATCACGTCATGATCACGATTGGTATAAACACGGAACGTTGCGGTTGCGATTGTAATCTTTTTAAACGTCACCTGTACATATGATGTTTTTTTGATCAAGAAAAAACACAAATGTTGAATATCAAACAAATTGTGTGTGTTTTGTTCAAAAAATTCGACCAACTCAATTAAATGGATAAAGTTCAAATCGATAAATGATGTCCACATTTAACTATACATTTTAAGGTGGGGTATTGTTTTTGTTGAAAAACATTTAAACATTTTTTAGTATCGATCAACAGGTTGGGTTCTATCAAACTTTACGTCGAATTTCAGTCGGCAGCCATTGAGAAATTATTGTAAGTACATAAAATTAAGTTATCATGCTGATTTGAAATAATAAAGACATCTATGCACGACATTCGATATAGGTATATCTATAGATACCTTTTACGAATGTCCTTATACCAGTTATACCTAAACCGATACTCCTGCAGTTTATCCTACAAAAAAATACCTATATCTATTATTATTTTCTATTTACCGATTCCAAAAATATCTAATGAAAGAATTATTTTGAAATATTTGAACCTTTTTACTATAGATTATACGAATAATTGCTATTAATATGTATTTTCTTATTAGGCACTTAAATGGTATACATATACCTCTAACTTCTGATAAATTATAGGTATATATAATACATCATACTATGCACTACACCAAATATATAAAAAAAACTCAACATAACTTTAATATTGTAAAATAAACGTCAGGAAGATTAGGATATTTATTTTAACAACTTATAAACTATTTATCTTAACCATTTATGTTTTATAAACGTCAATATTCCAATAACCTACAAACTCTCAATATTATTAGTTTTAAACATCGGTAGATACTGCAGTGTAGACTTGTAGCAGTGTATACTCTTAACAAAATTGTGTCGATAAAAAATATATTTTATTGGTTTACCCATCTACCCAAGTTTAATATTATGTCCAAAATTATTGCATGAAGCAATATTATTAGTTCGGTTTATTAGTTCGTGCATATAAATTCGGCGCCAATGGTTTTATGTTTATACAGTTTTGGCTTAAGAAAGTGAATTTGCCGAATTTGGTAGTTTAAGTATATTATGATTGAGAACTGTAAAATAAAATGTACGAGTTTCAAGTGACGTTCTTTTATTCGTTCAAATAATAATCTTTGAAGGAGATAGGTATTAAGCCGAACGTTGGAAAACCTATACGGGCTACGAGCTGCGGTAATAAGGACATGAATTGTTTCATGGTCATATTGTAGGTGCAATCGTATAATTATTGCAAGGAACAAAGTTTTAATATAGTTATTTAAAAATAATAATAATACGGTAACATGTAGTAATATGTTAACGTATTATTATTGTCACTAAATAGTGATGGTCGTTATAACTACTCGTTACCAAGTAAATACATTGCATCAATAGTCAATACAATCAACATATTGATACACGATCAATTGTCACCTGTCAGCTAATAAAATACGTCATTGACATAAAACTAGTACGTCAGTGTTGAATAGGATAGTAGGAAATAGTATAATAGTATGTATACGACAACGATAAAGAATTGTTAATTTTATTTTATTATCGTTGTATACTGTATAGACTATAGTACCTATTAGTCATGACTCATGAGACTACGAGTGATTATGTATTAAATAATAAATATTATAGTAAATAAAGGATTGGTTGACAAAACGTATTTGTTGCAAAATGCAAAGTAACATGGTTTGTTATCTAATATCTGAAGTATTATATTAATTTAAAACTATTCACTTTACAAAAACGCAATACTTATGTGATTTTTTTATCAACGTTCTGACAAGGTATTTTTAAATTTAATAAAAACATATTTTTTTGTCCCCAGCTATTACGTATTTTAAATCCTAAATTATTATGTCTAATGTCTATATTAATTAAATAAGTCGTGTACTTGCTGTTCTTTGATAAATATAGTATTATAATTTATAATTTAAATTATTTACAATTTGTGAAGCTTAAATTAATGTGTTGTTGCTACTTATTGTAAATTGATAGGTATAGTTATTATAAGTAGCACAGTTGTAACACTTTGTAATGTCATACCATTTTTGGATATCAAATATAATATGAATGGGTAGGTACCTAAAATGAGTAAACCTTCATCAGTTTACTTATTTGTTTTTTTCTTTGGGGGGGGGGGGCTTTTGCAAAATGAAACTTTTACTAAGTCCACTGAAAATGTTCTGTTAGCTTAAATTACTAAGAAGTAATTATTTAATAAAATTGAATGATTGATAAAAATGAGATACGATTAATAGTGTTAAAAGATAGGTCACATTGTCTCAATTATTATCATGTCAATGTGTCATAGTGTGAAATATGAATACATGATTCACTTAACAACTTTATTAACATTGCATGACTGTTATATATTAAAGACAATACTGAAAAAATACTTATATAGTTATATAGAATTATTTATTATTTTTAAGTACCAAAACTAATTTTGTTCATTATAAATTCAATCTTGAAGCATCCACATATTTTATTATGAATATTATTATTTTTATTATTGGCTATTGTTTATGTCCTCATGCCTCATTGAATATAGCTTCTAAGTTCTAATAGTGGCATTCTATCATATAAAACAATAAATTGACAATTTTACACAAATCTTAGATACTTATTAATGAGGTTTGATTCCAACATAGGAAATCCAGGAAATTTAATAAAAATAAAATATATACCTAATATTCATAAATATTAAAAATCTACAATAAACCAGCGTGTTTGTATAAACAATTTCTTATTTTGGTTGTGAGGCTTTTATTTGACAAAGCAACCAACTCATATATCAAATTCATTAGTCATTAGTCATTACTCAAGATCAAGTTAATCGTAATATTATAATACATAGTAGGTACCTACTACCTAATTATATTGTACATTATTAATGGTATATGCCATTAATTTTGTAAACTGACTACCTACAAAATTATGATCACAATTATTTAAAAAAATACAGGGATTTAGAGTGACTTAATAAAAGACTACCTGTAGCTAACCAAATTTCTGTATTATTCTCATCTGGATTTTATTTTATATACCTACAGCATATCTTAAAAGCTGTAATGATAAATCCGACAAACACCGTTTTTCGTCCAATAATGTTTCACAGTTGTATGCTTTTCTCAATATGATTATTTTAATAGGTATAGAAACAATTATATTATATTGATATAATAGAAAACTATAATTTTAATATAGTAGAAAATAATAAAAATACATTTATCAGAACTCCAACGTGGAATTAAATTCTGTCAGGAGCTGGCCGTCACGTTATTAAATATGTTCTCAAAATTTGAATTGTTTTTTTTTTTTTTGAAAATTGAAAGTCATTATGCTCCAAATGAACTATAATCATTAATTTCAGACTTCCGAAGTCAAACCCTGTTGGCCGTGGACTGTGGTCGGCACTGGGCGGTCGGCAGTGGTCCGCCGTGTTTGATCAGTCGTTAGGTTGTTCTGCGGTGCTACGCACAAATCTCCCCTCTTACACGCCGAGGAGCGTTGAACCATTTAAATACGCATTACAAATACTGCGATATATGCATATACACTCACACATGCATATACACCACTGTAAACCAGTTTGTATTTGGTTCGACGGTGATTAGTGGGTCTACAATATGTTATTATTTATTTGTTATTTTACGAAAATATAACCTTCCAGCAATTCTGACTTTCTGCTCTTCGGAGAACAATAATTTAAGTAGCCACTTAAGTGAGATTTTGGATTTTCCAGGAAAGTTTTAATACTTGTTTAGTGAATACTACAGGCTAAATACACGAATTACCATATAAAATATTATTATTTTTAAATCAGGTTACATGCACTTACAGCTACCTCAGTCTATAAAATGGTGCTGGACAATACATAGGATTTACCTTCTTTTTTATCCTTGAGAGTTGAGAATATGGGACTTGAGGTACCAACTTAT